AGACATGCACTACTGGTTCGGCATCACGATCATGCAAACGGCCAACGTCTTCATCCCGTTCCTGAGCCAACTGCCCCAGGACTTTGTTGTGAACCTCCTCTCGCTGCGCTTTCTCAACAAGATCATCCCGACACCGGTCTACCAAAAGCTTCTCGACAAGGTCGAGGCGCTCAAAAAAACAAAGTCCAACATCGTAGTGACGGGCCACTCGCTCGGTGGCGCCATGGCCGCCGTCGTGGGCGCCAAAATGCACTTGCCTGCGGTACGACGTCGTCTTGATACTTTGATACTAGGATCGGATGCTAGGTCTCGTTTTCGGGCCCGGGTCTCTTGTACTCGCGCGGTCGGTTTGACATTGACGACGAGCGCTCGATTCGCGACTACGTGCTCACGGTCAAGCCCCGGGGCGACTTTGTGCCGCGCGTGGACCGTCTCGGCGGCCTCGTCCAAGACATCGACTGCCGCCGCAACAACCCGAAAGCCTGCCACGGCACCGACACGCACGCGGTACGACGCGACTGTTTTGCGTCCACGCTCATGGTTCCCATTAGTGCGAGTTTTACCTCACGTGCGGCGACAAGCGCGGCCGCGACTGGTCCCGTGTCTGCGAAGAGTACCGGAACCTCGCCAAGAAGATTGACTCGATCACAACGCAGAGCAACAACTAGCTGCGACGGACCTGATCAAGTTGACAAAGTACACATTTTGAATATTCTGTGTTTTTCAACACACAGAACGCTGCTATACAATAACGTATGGCCACTACGCGCGGCGCGAGACCACGGACGACGAGACGTTCAACGTCCTTGCGGATGCTGTTGAGAAGGACGATCGGGCGGAAGCTCGAGACGGGTCCTTCGGGCTTCTTCGGTTTCGGCACACCGATCCGTGTGTCGGCACCAAGTTTCAGGCCCGCTTGACCGGCCGTTGCGTTAGCGCTTCATCGCGTATTCTACTTCAAAGACCGTGACGGGATCTTGGAGCGGTCCAACTTCTGTGCTGGCTTCGAGCGCTGGACGTGTTGAACTGGTCGTTTGAAAGTAACTGGTGATCTTGCTGAGTGTGGGTTTGGTGCTGACGATGCTACGGCCGGTGCGGTCGTGCGCCGCGGTGCACTTGTGCTGTCGGAGCAGGGCGGCGGCGACGTGGTTGTGCATGCTGCTGTGCGGACTGGCGTCTTCGATTTCCTCAGCAATCTTGTTGACGCGTTTGTCGGCGAGGTCCTTGCATCGCGTTCGTATCTCATGCAGTAGCTGATTCCGTTTGCTCGTGAGTTCTCGCGTGTCTGCGTCGCGTGGGCGCTCGAGCTGGTATAGTCGGTGAAGGTTCGTAGAGCATCGATTGGCGTCCAACTGCGCCGACGTGGCACTCGCTTTGCCGAGGAGCCCGCGCCACCGCACCGACAACATCAGCATGGCATGGGAGTCGAGAAAGGCCGCCAGCGCTGGTGTCCATGAGACGACATGCAGGAAGCTGCTGAAGACGCGACGCTTGATCAAGCTCGTAACAATCGCCCTGACAACATACAAAGAGCGAGTGCGTCTGGCGGGGTCGCGCGGGCCGCCTTTTAGGAGGGACCATCGTCGCTTGCAAATTTGGGATCCGGAATTCTATCTGCGGATTGGCGAAGATTCGTCGCCAAATAGCCAATCAAACGCAAGCAGACGTCACGCGCACCAGCCAACGCTAGTGATGTAAGAAAATACGTCAGCCACACCCAACCGCCAATCGAATCGGCAGGACAACATGTACACATCCTCTTCTTGGCTGACGTTGACCCCATTGCAACCAATCAACAACACCCTGCAATCCAGCCGTGGCGCATCGCGTTCGATGGGCCCTAGCCCTATCCCTAACCCTTGGCCAAAACAAATCCAAGGTCCTCGCTGCAAGCGTCGAGGAGGGCTGACCTGGAGCCTAGCATCCACGCCAACACGGTTGATGGGGCAGTGTGTCCCGATGGTTTTGTCAAGAAAAGACACGAGGACATACATTGTATGGTATATCGAACCATTTCTGCTGCAAGCAGGGTACTAGTACGGCTGTACCATCCGGGTGCGATGAGCTTGCGCAAAAGCCGTGGCTCGATGTGAACACCTTGACCTCGACCTGGGCGCAATGGGCTGGAGCGACCTCTGACGGTAACCTGCCGAGCGATCATGAGCGATGCCGTGGCAGATGCGCGACAAAGGCCGTGCAGACCCGCAGATCGTCCTCGCCGCTGATCGTTCCGCGCGCATCGATGCACGTTGTCGCGTCGGCAACCTCTTCGCAAGTCTACGCGAGCAAGAGTGCAACGTCGCCGCTTGCACCCAGCGGGTTGCCTTGCAAGCGCACAGTCGCCAGCCGCGGAAGATGTGCGAGGAGGCAGCTCAGCGCCTTGGCGCCTACGCGCTCGATGGTGTTGCCGCTGAGGTCCAGTGTGCGCAGACGGTGTGTGTGTACCAGCGCAGTTGAGAGCGCCGATGCGCCAACATCACCAAAGCTTTGGTTGACAAGCGAGAGCGTCTCGAGGTGCGACGCATGCCGGAGGAATGGCGCGAGGGCAAGAACACCGGCGTCGCGCAGCTTGTTGGACGTGAGGCCGAGGTGCAAGTAGCGCGGTAGGAGGAGTGCGAGCGTGAGGCAGTGGGTTGTCGAGAGGTGGATGTTGGTCAATCGCAAGGTCGTGAGCCGAGTCAGACGCGGGAGGTCGTCGTCAAGAAAGCACTGCTCATCAGGACCGTCCGGGCCTTGCATCTCGCTCGAAGCACGCACGTGCAGCGACACGAGTGCGCTGTTCACGAGCCTCCCGACCACGTAGCTCATTTCGGAGGGTGGCAGAAGCTGGAGGTCGAGGTGCGTCAGGTGGCGCGACAAGGTCGACCCGCTGCCTTGTTGAAGCCGCGTGTCAAGAGAGGAGGCACATGTTGGTTTTGCCCACAGTTGTTGAGCGGATGAGACCTCGTCCACGTTCCTCATCGTGAGCGACGTGAGCGGCGTCGCTCGGATCCATGCGGCGAGCGTTGCAGCTGCCTCGTCTGGAAAGCGCACCTTGAACGCACCGCGCAGCGCAAGCTTGGTCACGCGGCGCATCGAGACGAGGAGGTCCGCCAGCGCTGTGAGAATCGCGCTTTGCGTCACGTATCGCTCGTCCGGAGGCGGGATCGGCCGCGCCGAGAAACAGACGTCGATGGATCGGAGCGACGCCGCATTGGCGAGGAACACTTGCTGGACGGTCGCTAGCACACGCGCGTCCATTGTCCATGTTGTAATCGTGAGCGAGATACGGTCCAGTGTCGGCCACGCGCGCGGCAGCGTAGCGACCACCGGCACAACGGGCAGTGCGATGGCCGATTCGATGCAAAGGCGCGGGTTGACGATCAGGAGCTGGGCGAGCACGTTGTCAGCATTCGCAAGCTGCGTAAGAGAAGCAACGTCAAGCGTCGGCCAAAGGACTTTGAGCCCGAGCGCATGCGACAGCGTCGTGGCGAGTTGCAGTGCCGGCGTGCGCAGATGCTTCGGAAGCGCCTCGAGGAACGCCGCCATGCCGTCGACAGGCACGTACGTTGCAATGGCCTCGAGAAGCTCGGGCGACAGCAGCATCGTGCCGGGCTCTGGGCGGCGCTGGCGTTTGGCCAGCGTAGCACTGGTCATCCCGGTCGTCATACTCTCCTGGCCGCAGAGATCCCACTGCAACTGGACATACATCCGGAAACTGGCAGGATATCCGGTTACGCACCATACGTGGCAGCACGACCGATGAACAATATGCAGCAGTGCGATGGAAGGGCTTGGGTCACGCATTGTAATATGTTGCGCTATCAGTCCACATCGTGTCCAAGGCACGGAGGACACGTGGGGAACGCAGAACGTCTTTCCTCACTTTCATTATTTTGGCCCATGGCCAGACGCCGTCGACCAACCTGCGTTTGAAAATGAAAGGTGCAAGACTTGGAGCATTGGAAGAGGACGCTTTGGAGCGCACGGCATGCGAGGCCGCTTCGACGTCCGAGGCGTACAGCGCTAGCGAGGTGCGATCCAAGATATATGTATTTGAGGTAAACGCCAGAAGTAAGATCGTAGTGCCATCTTAGAGGAACCACTCCACGATGCCACGATGCGGACACCACATGCGTTTGAAATGGAATCACCCATAGTTTGCACAGTGATACAAGTCACGTTGAGGAGCAGAGCAGATCACGCTACGTTGCTGTTGCAGTCGTTCGCCGCGCGCAATCGACAACATATACAAAGCGCTCTTAAAACGCTGAAAAGCAAAGGACTGCATTGGCGCGCCGTAGTCTTCGCCTTGTACACTTGTAGCAGCCCCTATCACTGGATCGTAAATGCGATTCCAAGCAACAAGAATACAAATACTATGTTCAAAGCCATCGCATCCTGTGGAGCGATTGGGACGAGAGGTTTATAGCTTGCAATCTTCAGTCCTGCGCATTGCTTCCGCACTCTGTGGTCGCTTTCGCGGTGCAACGTAAACAACGCAGCGAGAGAAGAGCCATCTCCCAGAAACCAGACACAACAACTCGCAGTAATTTGATGTCGTCAAACACCACTTGTGTAAAACGAGTGCCAAGCTATTTTGCGTCCTCGTATGCCAGGGACGAAATGTTCACAATATGTAATCCTTTCAACTAAAGCTCGTCCGTGCACAACGACCGGTATTCTAGGCACGCTCGGCCTTCGTACGAGTGTTAACGATTGACCACTGCTACTGTACAAACAAGATTCATGCACGACGATTCATCAAGGGATTCGATCCCTCCAAGCGCTGGTGCATCGACTCGACGTCGGTGGCGACGTCGCCGCCATCCAGCTGTCTGGGCTGGCAGCGGCCTGCAAGCAGCAGAAAGTCATACGTGAGTACAGTGCATTGAAACGGGCAGCTCGCTGTGCCTGGTGCGTAATTTTGTGTTCGCGGGTAAAAAATGGCAGCTAAAGATGGATCACGTGCTTTGCCGGCTCGTGCGGTTTTGCGTACCACTTGGTCGTACCGCCCATTGTGTGGAATTTTTTGGCTTGTACTTCCCTGTACAGCCAGCATCCACAACGACCGTCCGAACAGACCTCTGTGATATGAGATGCAGAGTCATCTCGCCCTCGTGACACTCCACGACTTCGACCTGTGAGTCGTACTGACTTGTCGCAGTGCCTGACGATAACGCGTTTCAGCGTTGCGATAGCTGTTACGAATACAATGGATGGCGCCCAACTGCTGGCAGATCTAAAGTTGGCATTTTCTCCTAGCCTCAAAAAGAAATCTGAAGCGTTGTGCGCACGCCCGAGATGGTGACAATAGCAGAGGACGTGGCGAGCACCGACGACGCAATGACGTTTTCGGGCGGGACCTGCGGCCAGCGCCAACGCCACACGGTTCAGCTCGACAGCGTGCTTCCAGAGTCCGAGAAATTTGATGCGAAGGACGTTGATGGTGCCACGCTGAAAAACGCAGCTTTGGTTAAGGGCTCAACGAACGACGACCGCCTCAACCCCGTCGCGATTGCCGTCTTCGCGCTCTGGGTGCTCGTCACCGTCAACTCACTCGTGGACCCGCTCAAGACGATTTACGGCTACTTTGTCTACCTCGACAGCAACAACCAAAACGCCGTGTGGCAGCTCACGGTCGCCAACCACTTCAACAACGTCACATCTCGCGTCTGTCCATTGAGCGGGCCGTTTCTCGACTGCTACTTTGAGCTGCCCGTCTACGGCACCGGGTCCCTCGCCGGTGCGACCTGCCGGTCCTACTACCCCACCGACAAGGGCCCGACCCAGCACATTGGCAATTTCTTCGGCAACTGCACATTTCCCAACGGCCAGCGCGTCGACATGCCGGATGGCCGCACCACGGTGACGACGCAGTGGACGGTCCAAACAAGCTCTCTCGACCGAAAGTGTCTCACTCTACTCGGCGAAGGCGACAGCTTTCCGTGCGACGAGTACATCACGACCAACGGCCGCATCATCAACTACCGCGTGAGCCAGACGGAAACCAAAAAGTGGTGCAA